CCCCCTTCTCCCCCCCAGGTAACCCCCCCCCCCCGTCCGAAAACTAGGGGTATGGTTGCTTGAGAGGGGCGTCCTGTGGGGACAGCCGGCTCTTTCTGAGCAGCGGCCTGGCCTGGAGCCCCAGATCCTCTCGGGCCCTTGACAAGGACGGTCCCCGGGGCCGCGTCACAGGAAAGGGAACCCCTCGTGGGGAGCCCAGCTCACCAGCTGCGTGCACTTGTCCGTGCAGTAGCCCGTGAGCACGAAGGCCGCCTCCCCGGGGGGGATGGCCATCACGGGCGTGTACACCAGGCCCAGCTCCATGATGCCCGCGTCGAAGCGCCGCAGCGTGGCCGTGTAGTACAGGCGGATGCCCGAGGAGTCCCGCCGGCCTGGCGGGGGGCAGGGGGTTAGTCAAGGTCCCCCCAACCCGCTGCCCTGAGGCAGGAGGCGTGGTCACCCGCCCCTGCTCCCAGCCTGCAGCGGGGCCTTGACCCCCCACCGGGCTGCACCAGGAGGCAGACCCTTGGGCAGCAGTGTGCTGGGTGCCCTCCGGCAAGTCACTGCCGCTCTCTGGGCCTCAGCGCAAAGTCCAGGGCCTCGTCCTGAGACCTCAGTGCTTCTACCCAGCACGGCCCAGCCACGCCTGCCAGCTCTCCTTAAAGGTGCTCACTGGGGAGTTAAGCTCCCTGGGCAGCCCCCCGGTGGTCACACGGAGGTGAGGGTCAGGGGCCCGTGGACGCTGCCACCCACAGGCCCCGCCCCACGACCTGTGGCCTCCAGTCGCCTGTCTCCTGCCCTTCCCCTGCCTGGACTGGGCAGTGACTAGGTCCTGAGGACTTTGGGTGGAGCGTTGGGAGGGTCCCGTGGAGAAAAAAGCGGGGGGCGGGGGCTGGACGACCTGGGAATGTAGGCAGAGCTGGGAGGCGGGTGGGGAGCCCAGCCAACAGAGTGTTCGTTCCCAACTTACGGACGTGGAAACTGAGCCTCAGAGCCTGAGCCGAGGACCTGCCCACGATCGCAGCCGGGGACGTGGCCGAGCTGGGAACGGAGCCCAGGGCCTTGGTGGGGGGCTGGATCTCCCACTGACTTGCTCGCAGGTGAAGCCAAGAACCGCTCCACCTCTGCCCCCTCCCTCCCTACCCCATGCCCCCCCTCCGCCCGCAACTCGGGGTGCACACTCGGCCTGCACCTCAGCTCACGCGCAGACGGGATTAGACACAGATCACGGTGGGGCTCTGATATTTATAGGAAAGCAGCCGTTTCCAGATTTGTGGAGTGACAGGCGCGCGCCCCTATATTTGGTGACGGATCCATAAATACACCCAGAGAATCAGGAGGAGACAGACTTCCCAGGCGCTTCGGGAGTTCTCAGAAACCCGTTTGCTTTCCGCTTTCCATGAGCAGTAA